GTTCACAAGAAGTATTGTTTCCAAAGGCCATCACATGTAGTGTCGTATGGATTGATAAATACATTGGGTTTTGGGTTTGGGTTCAGGTTTTTCACATTAATTGTATTTCCACTCAATAATTGTGGCCACTCTTCGCTTACGGTTGGTTTGCTATTATAAAAAATATAAATAAATATTGTTACAACCAATTAAATTAAATTACAACCAATTAAACTCTCTCTCTCTCTCTCTCTCTCTCTCTCTCTCTCTCTCAACAATTAATATTTACCCATATTTAGCAAAATTAGTCCACATTTTCATTAACTCTGCACTGAATATGGCGTCCATTGGAGTGTATGCTTCGGGGATTACAAATGGCAATCCATTAACAAATGTAGTTTCAGCGCAATGGCAAATACCCATTCCCTCAACATCACAGCCCGCTATATGAGCGGTGTATTTGTTTTGATAAGTGACCTGGTAGAAATATACATTATGACCAGGTTGTGCATTTGTGGCAATTTGTTTGGCAAACAGATATGTCGGACATTTCATTATTAAATCGCCGTATAATTCATAAAACGCTTTCTTGAGCTCAAGTGAACTGTTTTTGTCGACATTTTGTAGATAATAGTCGTCCACACGTTTCACATCCAATCCGTGGTAAACACTGTCCGATGTCTTCGTGGCCTCAATAATATCATTGAGAGTCACCTTATCTTTTAGCGGAAGCGCATATAAGGACAGCTCTGAGCCCTCAGTGCTGGCAATGCCTGCTATTATATCCACATCTATTGAATTCAATAATTATTAATATTATTTTATTTGTAGTTTTGTAATACATGTAAAACATTTATTTAATGTATGTCTGATAAACAATAAACCCAAACCTGAATATTTTTTGTCCGCAAATGCCTTTTGGGCAGAAATGGGTAGGAATTCAGTGCCCAATACTGGATATGTCATTAGATTTAGGTATTTGTTAAATACTTTTGCATCCAATCCTCGCAAACATTGCAACCAATCCTCACTTTCGCTGCAATTCTGCTCTTTTGCTATCCGTTTGCCTAAAAGTATTGACTCGTCTTTACTGACGACATCCCTGTCCTTGTTATACATATGGGCGCCGCTCTCCATAATAGCCCTCTTGAATAGGCCTTTGGATAGCGGGGGAGAGTATGTGTGCGGACTAGACATCCCTGTCCTTGTTATACAAATGGGCGCCGCTCTCCATAATAGCCCTCTTGAATAGGCCTTTGGATAGCGGGGAGAGTATGTGTGCGGACACCGACCAACTCCCGGCGCTCTCACCCAATATCGTGATCCGATCCCTATCTCCGCCAAACTGTTCAGCATTTTCTCTAACCTATTATTATGTCATTAATTCATATATTATTTTAAAAATTAATAGAAATATTTAAAAAATACAATTAATTAATACCCATTTGAGTGCCAATAACTGGTCAAAAAAGCCTACATTTCCGGGCGCGTCCTCCCGATCCCCGTATAGAAAGCCCAACTGTCCTAATCTATACTGTGTTGAGACATACACCACATCATGTGTTGCTAACAAAGCAGTTATCGGTGGGAAAAATATTGAGCCAATAGCTAAGCCTCCGCCGTGAATGTGAAACATAATGGGTTTGAGCTGTGATTTGTTTGTGTTATTATTGCCCGCATTTGGTGTCCATATGTTTAATACCAAACAGTCTTCACTTGTAGTTAGATTTGGAAAGTATTGAGTGTTTGGTTGAATGCAAGAATTTTTGGGTTTTGTTGCATCAATAATGTCCTAAATTTACAACATTTATTATTTAATTTATTGTAATTTACATGTTTAAAAAATTAATAATTACCGGTTTGGGTGTTTTGATGGGTTCAGGTTTGGTGAACCGGAGTCTCCCGACGGGTGGTTCGGCATAAGGTATACCCAAAAACTGGTCAATACTTACGTTCAACACATCTATCGTCTGACCCCTCACTACACCCGATGTTGTCTTCACATCAATACATGCTATGAATTCAACACAAATATATAATAAAAACAAAAATTGTAAAATAATTTTCATTTCTATTTTTATTATTACTATTATTTTATTAATTTAATTTAATAAAAGTATTATATATTTGTTAAATGTTTGAGCAATTGTTTATATACGTGCTCTAATTAATAGTTTAACAATAAGCTATAAGATTAAAGCAATTCAAAACAATTTATCTAAAAGTATGATAAACTAGTAATCTTTATATAAGGTAAAAATCAATATTAATAATACAGTACTATTGGCTAATAATATTAATACTAGCACTACATTAATCAATAAAATAAGTACCGAAAGTAACCCTAATCATAACTATATTTTTAATTAAATGATGTTGTTATGATTTCAAGTGCACTTCATAATATGAAGTTCATATAAACATGTATAAATACTTGGTAAATTATATTGATTTTGATGCACTGTACAGGGTTAAATGTAGTTTTTACTGACACCAATGTACTTTTAAATTATTTATATCATTTTGATGCAGATATTTTAGAGCAATCATGTAGAAACTTCCCATTCTACGTCATTGATGCTGGTAATTTTTGGATATTATATACAGTATTAGTTAAATTTGTAATTTGTTTGTATAATAAACGTATGTAAAACGTGTGGTTAATAACAGGGCTAAACTATCTCACCAAGGTTAAACAAATCACTATATCGTCTGTATTTGAATAAACGGTGTCAATAGAACCGAACTCTCGGTAAATATAAATTTAATTTAACCCCTACTTTGAGTCTCAATTAAATCGCCGATTGTCTCAATCATGTGTGCCTTTGAGGGCACAGACATCCCGGCGTAGAGTTCGCTTCCGTATAGGTTTCGCAGTATAATTGTGGCCAAAAGCCATGCAATCAACACAAGTCTTATTGGGATCAACGCTGAGATGCGAGCGATTGATTGATTCAATGGTATTGCTATGAAATCGCAACTAATTATCACTCGTTTATAACTTCGATAATTGATTGCAATATTAATTACAGTATTTTTGACACAATGAGTCAACATTATCAATTTATCTAGATATTTTATTGTATATTATTTATAATCATGTAATTTATTACATCTTAATGAAAATACACGCAATTATTTAGACAATAATATTTCCAAGTGGTAATTACAAAAACATTATAGAAAATTAAATTATAACTAGCGTTGAAATATCATTTGATTTTATGAGACCTCTTTAAATGCAGAGCTAATCCGCTTTTAACTGCATATGATTTGTGACAATTATATTCATGACATTTGAATGGCTTATCATTTAAATGAATACGTTTTGTATGACTTATTAATTCAAATTTTTGTGCAAAAGTTTTTTCGCAATCACTTGAAGTGCATTTGAATTTCTGGATATTTAGATGACATTTCTGTTTATGTCGACATAAAGCAGGCCTTTGTTTGAAACTTTTGTTACAATTTTTGAATTCACAATTAAATAGTTTTTCACCCGAATGAATGCGTTGGTGTGAAATGAGACATTGTTTTAAATTGAATTAGGGTTTTATTAAAATTTTTAAAATCATTTTGTTAATTATTAATTTATT